AGGTACCTGTGTAGCTACTTTTAGAGATTTGTGAATCTGAATTCCCTGACTCTTTGCTTCTGCACCTCTCATAGGTTCCAACATTTCCAGACTATAAACGGCTTATTTATTTTTTCCTGCCGAAGTGAATTACTTTGCATTTTCCTACATTAAACTTAATTTGCTATTTATCTGCCCATTCTGCTAGCCTGTTTGTCTTCCTGCATTCTTGTGCAATCCCCTTCACTGTCTACCATTCCCCCCAGTTTGGTGTCATCTACAAATTTTAATACCAAACCTCCAATACCTGAATCCAAATCATTTATGTATATAAACAGTAGTGGTCCGAACATGGATCCCTGTGGAACACCACTTCCTACTGCTTTCCAGCTTGAGAAGACACCTTTAACTCTTTCTTTGCTTTTGGTTTCCTAACCATTCTTTAATCCATTCTGCTATCTCTTCCATGATTCCACATGCCCCTGTTTTAATCATAACGTCATGTGGTCTTCTGGACATCCAGATACACGATATACACTGCGTTTCCCTCATCTACTTTATCAGATTACATCTTCAAGAAAATCGATAAGGTTGGTCAACCATTACCTTCCTTTCCTAAATCGATGCTGGGTTAAATTAATCCTCGGCTGCAGTACGATAATTTTTTTAAAAAAGTAATCTTTTGGGACTTTGTGAGTCAATTAAATTAACGTTGAAGAATTTTGTGAGGTACAAAAGAATGATTAAACACTCTGAGACAAATTGAAGTAATAATTTTAAAGCTTATCTGTTCCATCAAAATCTCTTCAGAGAAAATCATCAACCTTGGAATTTGAAATTCAGATTTCAAAAACAATCAGAAGATGTAAACAAAATCAAATTTAAAATTGCAAAACCAAAAGAGAAGGACTTTATGTTTAAAAAGCCTGCTCCAATAAGATTTGTAATTCTAAAGTAAAATTATCTGATAGCAGGGGAAATGAGCAAATATTTATATAACCAACAGAAGGCAATACATTTTTCTGAAAATGTCATCTGTCACAGTACAAAGGGCAGTCTGCTGTATTTAGCAAAAAATATGCACATTGTCATCTCAATGTACCTGTGTGAAATATGAAGTTAGAATCTTATAATGTCATGTATAAATGACTTATGGCTTCTAACAAGAACCAAGTTATAATAATGAGTCAAAGTTTCAAATCAACAAAGCAATTCACCTGGCACAACACACAGTATCATAACATTCCAGTCAAGCCTTCCCATGTTAAGGATCCTACCTTTCAGATCCCACCTTTCACACCATCTTCACTTTGTCTCCACAAACGGCTTCTTCTCCAGTATCCGCACCATCTTGTGCAGCGTTCCTCAAGGCTCTTTCCTCGGTCCCCTTCTCTTCAATATCTACATGCTCCCTCTTGGTTAAATCATCCGCAGACATGGGGTCAACTTCCACATGTATGTGGATGACACCAACCCTATCTCTACCTCCACCCTTGACTCCAGGACCACTACTGTCCTGAAAGAATATCTGTCAGACAAGTCCTGGATGAGAGATAACTTTCTCCAATTGAATGTCAACAAGACCGAGGCCCTCCTAATTGGTTTCCATAAGCGCTTCCACACCTCAGCATCACCATCCAATGATGCACACTTCACTGAGTCAGTCCGGAACTTTAACATCTTGTTTGACCCTCAACTGACCTTTCTACCACAAATCCGTGCAATGACCCACTTTGCCTTCCCCCATTCGCAATATCGCCCGCCTCCACCACTGCCTCTCCCTCTCCCTTCAGGCCACTGAAACCTCATCCGTGCATTTGTCACGTCTAGGCTCGACTATGCCAACTCCCTGGTTATCGGCCTTCCCAACTTTCTCTCTACAAGCTGCAGATCATCCAGATTTCTGCAGCTCAAGGCCTCTCCCACACCAGGCTCCATGACCCTATAATCTCCACCCTTGCCTGGCTCCACTGACTCCCCATCCCTCAGAGGATAGGGTTCAAAATTTTTGTCCTCACCTTCAAGGCCCTCCACGGCCTTGCTCCTTCTTACCTCTGTTACCTGCTAACCCCACATCAACCTGTCTGCTCCCTCCTGCTGCACATCCTCTGGCCAGCCCGGACCATCCCACCATTGGCGATTGGGCTTTCAGCCTCTCTGCGCCCATCCTTTAGAAGTCCATCCCACAATCCCTTCGTCTTGCTCCCCCTTCTTCAAAGCATGCCTCGACCATGTCTGTGGCCACTCTCCTACCCCTGCCCTCCACATGCCCCGATCCTAAACCCCTGCTTGGGTGTCTGACACATGTGAAACCCATCACCATGCTTAAGAATATCCAAACCAAACTGAGTTCCATATCGATATTTATTGGAATGCAATGCGCATTCTCTCCCTAAAAGAACAAATCCTAACCATGGAGATTCTTATGTGCAGTTTGGCAATGGGACCTGGAATCATTGCATTTCAGTCAGATCTCAGAAGTGAAAACCCTGGCTTGTGCTTTGTTTTCTCCTAACTAGGTGCACTAATAAAATCAATGTAGTGCCTGGCTTAGATCAGCTAACTAAGCACAGGCCAAATCAAATCTGCAAGTTTATAATCTGTGTGATCTATTGCCACAGTAAATCTTGAAGAAACGTAAATGTTTTTCTAAAAAGCTTCCCATTCATTTTTTATAACTTATAGTGCTTCTGCAAATAATTTTCTAAGCATTGTTTGTACATTGTCGACATCTCAAAGTGCTTCAGAGGATATATTGCAAAGTAGATTGTAATTTGTAGGTGAAATGCAGCAGCCAATTTGTGCACAGCAGTGTCCCACAAGCAGCCATGGAGAGAGTGACCAATTTTAATTGGGGGATTGTTGGCCAGGCCAGTCTGATTGTAAAAGTTTTTACAAATATATTAAGAGGAATAGGCTAGTGAGGGTAAATGTAGGTCCACTTCAGTCAGAGACGGGAGAAGTTGTAATGGGGCATAAGGACATGGCAGGGTACTTTGCATCTGTCTTCACCCTAGAAGACACAACAAGTCTGCCAACAATAGAGATGCACCAAGGGGATAAGAACAGGGAGCAACTTAGGGAAATTTTCATTAGTAGAGAATTGGTGCTAGGGAAACTGTTAGCACTAAAAAGTGACAAATCCCCTGGTCCGGATGGCTTGCATCCCAGGGTTTTAAAAGAGGTAGCTTATGAGATAGTGGAGTCTGATCTTCCAAATTCCTTGGATTCTGGAACAGTCCCCATGGATTGGAAGATCACAAATGTCACACCACTATTTAAAAAAGGTGGAAAGGAAAAGATGGGGAACTATAGGGCAGTTAGTCTCACATCAGTGATAGGAAAAATTTTAGAATCATTGATTAAGGATGTGGTAGTGCGGTATTTAGGGGAGCACAACATAATTAGGCCAAGTCAACGTGGCTTTACAAAAGGGAAGTCATGTTTGACAAATCTCATAGAGTTTTTTGAGGATATTTCCAGTAAACTAGATAAGGGTGAATCAGTGGATGTGGTCTATTTGGATTTCCAGACGGCATTCGATTAGGTGCGACATAAAAGGTTAGTCCAAGATATAAGGGCTCATGGAATTGGGGGGAGCATATTAACGTGGATTGGGGAATGGTTAACAGGTAGGAAACAAAGAGTAGGGATAAACGGGTCCTTTTCAGATTGGCGGGATGTGACTAGTGGAGTGCCACAAGGATCAGTCCTTGGGCCTCAGCTATTTACCATCTACATCAACGATCTAGATGAGGACATTGAAGTTAATATATCTAAATTCACGGATGACACAAAACTAGGAGGAAGTGTCAACACAGAGGACGACATTAAAAAAATGCAGCGAGACATAGATAGGTTAGGTGATTGGGCAGGTAGGTGGCAGATGAAGTATAATGTAGGGAAGTGCGAAGTCATCCACCTGGTAGCAAAAACAGTAGAGCAGGTTATTTTTTAGAAGGGGAGAGATTGGAATGTGTTAGCGTCCAGAGGGACTTGGGTGTCCTTGTACACCAATCACAGAAAGTTAGTCTGCAGGTGCAGTAAGCAATTAGGATGGCGATCGGTATGTTAGCATTCATTATGAAAGGATTAGAGTATAAGAGGAGGGAAGTCTTGTTGCAGCTGTATAGGGCCCTGGTGAGACCACACCTGGAATACTGTGTGTAGTTTTGGTCTCCTTATTTAAGGAAGGATGTACTTGACTTGGAGAGGGTGCAGCGTAGATTTATTAGGTTAGTACCAGGGATGAAGGGGATGAGTTACGAGGATAGGCTGACCAATCTGGGCCTATATTCTCTAGAATATAGAAGAATTAGAGGGGATCTTATAGAAACCTATAAGATCATCAAAGGGCATGATAGAGTAGATAGTGGGAGATTGTTTCCCCTGGTTGGAGAAACTAAAACCAGGGGTCACAACCTTAAAATCAGAGGCCAGCCCTTTCGCACTGAGTTGAAGAAGAACTTCTTCACTCAAAGGGTGGAGAATGTATGGAACTCACTACCCCAAAGGGCTGTTGACGCTCAGTCCTTGAACATATTCAAGACTGAGATAGATATATTTCTTATTGCAAAAGGGATTAAAGGATATGGGGATAAGGCAGGGTTAGGTTATTAGCTGAGTTAGACGAGAAGATCAGCCATGATTGAATGGCGGGGCAGGCTCGAAGGGCCGAATGGCCTACTCCTGCTCCTACATGTTATGTTATGACACCAGGAGAAACTCGCTTCACTTTTCAAATCGTGCCATGGGATCTTTAACGTCCACCTAAACACGACCGACAATGCAACAAATCCCCAGTAATGCATTAGAGCGTCAGCTTAAACTATATGATTCTAAGTCTCCACGTGGAGCTTGAACCCACAACCTTCTGACTCAGTGGCAAGAGTACTACGACTGAGCCAGGCTGACACACAAAGAACATGTTCTTTATTATTTCAAGAAATGTTAAAGAACATTTTGAAAGAGAAACTTTTTAAAATCTAGATTTAATCAAACGGTTTTACCTTTATTTGCAGGATTTTATTTAAGGATCATGACCGAAACTGGGAAGAAATTGAAAATAAAATGCGGGCTGAGAGTGAAGTTCCTATTTTGAAAACGTCAAACAAGGTAGGCAAGACAGTGAATCACAAAAGGTTTTTTGATTTGTTGTTCTATGTGCATGCATCTTATTGCATTTTGCAGAAGGAAATGCTTTGCTTTAGCTGTAAAATTGCTTTTCTGGTGATTATAAAAGCTACAGGTTGTAGTTTTTTATTTCAAATATAGAATATTTTGGATACAATATGTAGTAACAATGTCCTTGCAATAGTTTGACTGAAGCTTATGCAACCATAAGATCATTGCTTGGAGTCTCATAACTTATGCACTTCAGTAAGGTGAATTTATTTGTCTCCAGACAGAAATTAATCCTCTGTAGGGTGAAAGGAGGGCTTAACCTGTTCAGGCTAGAAATTGAGAAATACTATTCACGGTAACACAGCCTGCTTTCAAATCGCATCTTAAAACGTATCTCTTCAAGTTTGCTTTCGACCATCTTTTCCCACCACCACCCTCAGTCCCCTACCTTCCTCCCAGCTCGTGGTCATCTCTTTGTAAAGTACTATGAAATATACTATTGTATATGAGTGTAAGCTGTTGTAATAATCCAATATTTATCTTAATTTGTTTTAAAAATAAACTAGTAGGACAGCATTAAATACTTCAGAACTGTACTTTGGAGAAGTAGATATGTTTGCACAATGAGGGTGGTTATTAATGTTGTTGCTTGCTACTTCTATTTCTGTGATCCCAGTCCCTTTTAATCACATTGTAAAACACTTTGTGTCCCCTCTGCCATTTCTCAAATGAAGATAAGAATCCTCTATCCCACATTTACATTTGTCTTCTTCTCTGATTCTTGTCCAGAAGTGAATTACTTAAATACAGTTTCTCCAATGATGATGTGAGATTTGAATAATTTGCTCTGACTAATGCTCTCCAAAAGCATTGCACTATATGGTTAGTCTTGATAGGTTTGCATTGAGAATTTCAGTGAATGGTTGATTACATTTTTGCTTCTTTTTTTGCCTGATGGTTTCCTGTTCGAGCCTGAGCATTTCAGGTTTCCTGTTCCAGTGTGTGTAAGAAATAAGAATGTTTAGATTCAGATCAAGGCAATTGGGCCCACCAAACCTGTAACTTTGAATTTGCATCTCTACCTTATCTACCTTGCATCATTTGCATTAAGATATAAATCTATTTTTTCAACCTGTAGATTCAATTGGTTTTAATTATTAAATCTAGTATTACAGATGTCCTTTCTACATATTGTTTGCTGTAAAACAGTGGTGGAGATGGAATTAATTCCTGGATTCACTGACCACTATTAGTCAACTCAAGAGGGGAAACTCTTCCCAGGATGCTCCAGCTGCAACTGGAACACACCATTCGCTTGCTCCCTATAGATCTATCACAGCTCTGGGACTCACTGAAATCTTACCAATCAGATCAGATGGCGCTAATGGTAGATGAGGAGAGAGAAGCCTTATTCATTAGGCTCTGCAGAATCTAGAATTTGTGTGATACCTACATTAATATTGGAAGCATTGCTTTTTATTTATTTTCTTTAATGCTTTTAAAAGATATGCAATTAATGTAAGGTATCAATTTTCAATGGATTTATTGTGTGGGGTTTCTCAATCAGGATACCTAATGTTGTGGGGGCCTTGAGCCCAGAAAGTTTGGGAACCTCTGCCTTAAGAGGCCTCCTAATGTTAAGACTAACATTTTCCCTGTCTCCACCTCAAAAAAACATTTTTCTAATTGTACAGTTTAATACTGAAGGATGGGCACATGAATAGAGAGATCATCAGGCAGGCCATGGGAGCACAGTGTATGAAATGTGTGCATGAAAATGGATGAGATGACCGGCCTGGATCAGTTTTGTTTTGGTCAGTTGGGTGTCTGACAGATGCAGAAACCCATCATCATGTTTTAAGAGTATCCAAACCAGACTGAGAGTTTCATGTATGTATGCCATCTTTTCATGGCAATTTTCTTGTATTGGAAATGGAATGCACACTCTCCCTAGAGGGATACATTCTGCTTTCCTAATTCTGGAGTGTATTTGGCGCAGTTTGGTGAAAGCCAGATCAAGTGGACCCCTGAGTGTTTGTTGGGATAATGCTGGAATTTGAACAGTTAAAACAACTGCAATACTTGAATTTCTATAGTGCCCTTCATGGGAGGGTAAGTAACTCGGAGCGCTTAACAGTGGTGGAGTTTAGCGCCAAGCCAGAGAGAGGGGGGAGGTGATCACAGGCATGGTCGAAGAGGAAAGTCTTCTAGTAAGATCTGAAGATGGACAAGGAAGGAGCAAGTCACAGCCCCAGAAAAGTGATCCGCCAATCGACTAACAACTGGGTTCCTACTTACTGCTAAGTAAACAGAGGCGTATGGAATAAGGAAACTTGCCCAACATTTCACACTGCCAGGAATCGAACCCAGGTCCTCTCACTTGTGAGGCGAGTGCTCTAATTACTGAGCTACAGAACTCCACTGGTGGAGGGTGTCAGGAGACTATTCCCTAGATTAAGACCTGGGATAAAGGCAATTAACTGTGATGATTGGCGGGATAAACTTGTGTTACATTCCCTAGAGTTGAGAAAGTTGAGAGGTAATCTAATTGAAGAGTTATTATAATAATAATAATAATAAAAAAAGCACTTCACTTTCAAAATAGATCATGTTAAAATGGGGTTTCCACAAACTATCATGACACGCTTCCAGATTCCTTAATTAATCCCATTTGAAATTGCTACATATTAGACCCATTAGGTGTGCCTGATTTCAATTTCTATTTTTTTCTGAATTAGATAGATAAAATGATATTTATTGTGCCTTTTTTTAATTTTTAAGCAATTTTTCTGACAATGTGCTCCTAAAGCCATGAGTACCATGGGACTACCAAGGTGTACAGGACTGGGTATGTTTGCAAAGGTCTTCCAATCTACAGGGAGTTATGTCATTCGATGAGCTCAAAAATACAGTGCAGAGCAACTAATCTGTATGAAGGAGATGACTCAAAATAAAGCTCCTGATGGTGCAATGGATGGAGTTGTAGCTCACAGTTTACAGACTAGGGACTTGCTGGTTCAAATTGCAATCCTTGCTGATTTTACTCATCTCAGCCAGTGCTGCTTTGGGGACTAAATTGGCCTCAGCCTTTCCAGGGTTTGGGAGGGAAAAAACAGCCAAGGTCCTGCTCCTGAAGCCTCATCATCACCTTCTATTGATTCTGTGGAAGTGTGGCAGCTGGGTGGAGAAAGGTCAAGGTCGACTATTGTTGCCTTCTACGGTCAAGGGACTGCCAAGACACACAAATGAACAATGGCCACTTCGGCAGATACTGGAGGGCAACCCACATCCGTGAAACCATATCCCAGCATGAGGAGGCCAGGGCAGAGAGCCGAGGCTGGGGAGGAAGAAAATTAGAAAACAATTTGACACATCTAAATTGATATTTAAAAAAAGCATTTTGTTTTATTTGGCTCCAAATTGCAGTGAGTGGAGAAATCCTGCCAGATTTGTGCTCAATAGCACAGCTGTGCTATGTCAGAGTTCTTACAGCTGGCATAGTTAGAAAATAGATGACGATTGGGTGATAGGGAGCATTGTAACTCCCATCAATAATGGAACAAAGTCCTGAGTGCTTCTCAACTGCATCCAGCAAACATTGCTCCACCTGCACAAACCATCTCTGGTGAGTTTCCTGTCACTTAGTCTGGCAATCAGAGTCTTGGAAAAAATCACACTTGAACATCAGCCCTCTTCTCAGAGTCTGATCAGACTAATCCATTTGTGCAGATACTTCAAAACTCCTGATGAGATCATGGCATTTCTTTTAGTTCTAAGCAGTGACGTAGCCAGGAATGGAAACTTGGGTGGACCCCAACTTGTGAGGAATGGGCAATGACCAAATGATTTAAAAAAAGTAAAACCCACAATTTTTTTAATTTTAACCAATTAATAAATGAAATGGATTCAGTAAATTAATTACATTGTATAGATAGTGTCCTCTTGTCTCTGCTTGACCTCTCTGCACTGGCTCTTAACTCCCGCTCTGTCTCTCTTTCCGTAATTTTTCGTTTGGCCTTGTGTCTCGTACAACCTCGTGAGATGTAGGACTTATACTTCTCATTCTGCCGCTCTCCCTAGAGCAATGGGAAGAGACGCAGAGCGGAAAGTATAATTCCTACATCTCCATTCTGCCTCAATAGCAGGAAGTATAACTCGTACTGAGGCAGTACAGAGAGTGACCTCCGCACCTCAGGCGTTGGCAGCATCAGCCTCCACGGCTGCACACTCAACCTCACGAAGCCAATCAGGAACCTGGGTGTCTTGTTTGACCCTGAACTGTCCTTTCTCCCCCACATCCATGCCATGACTGGCACTGCCTACCACCACCTCTGCAACATTGCCAGACTCCGCCACTGCCTCACCCCTCAGGCTGCCGAAACCCTCACCCACGTATTTGTCACATCAAGGCTCGATTACGGAAACTATCTCCTCATTGGCCTTCCCAACTCTTCCCTTCACAAGCTGCAGATCATCCAAAACTCTGCAGCTCATGTACTCTCATGCACCAGGCTCCGTGACTCCATCACTCCCACCCTCGCCTGACTCCACTGGCTCCCCATCCCTCAGAGGATCGAGTTCAAGATCCTAATTCTCACTTTCAAGGCCATCCATGGCCTTGCCCCCTCCTATCTCTCTAACCTACTGACTCCCTACCAACCTGCCGCTCCCTCCGTTCAGCGGATTGCGGTCTGCTCCATGTCTCCCACCCGACCCGTCCTACCGTCGGTGTCTGGGCTTTCAGCCTCTCTGCACCTACACTTAGGAACTCCATCCCACGGTCCCTTCGCCTCGCTTCCTCCCTTGCCTCCTTCAAGGCCGGTCTCAAGACCCTTCTTTTCGATCATGCCTTCAATCGCCCTCCCACCTCTCTGCCTTCCCTCACCCCTAACCCACCCCTCCCCCCATGCTCGGGTCCCAACCCCTGACTGTCCAGCACTTTGGGACGTCCTCCCGACATGCAAGGCGCTCTGTAAATGTAATTTTGTTGTTGTTAACGGGAGGAAACCTCCAGCTCGGCCTCTTTTCCCGTCACCTCTGCGCTGCCTCTGGAGACTGATGGGTCAGCCGGGGTGCTAGTTGAGTGCTCCCTGGTTTTAAGCATTAATAATTGCTATAATTATCCGCTAAAAATATTCCTATCTCTAATTAAAATGGAAAATACTTGAGGTAAAGAAAATTAGCTTTAATACCAATTGTGTTAATTGTGATTTGCTACATTGTGCACAAAGATCCTCAATAAAATGTTGTGCTGTAATTTAAAGAATGTATTCAGTACTATAAACTCTTGGATAAGGTGCGTTTAGCATTCCTTTGTAGACCAGAAAATGTGCAATTTATGAAGCGTGCTGGTAACATTAGTCATTTTTTTAAATTCAATACATCTCATCATGACTCATAGAACAATAAGACATCCGTTGTCAGGGTGGGTAAGAAAAATTGAACATTTATGATAAAGTAAAATGGGAAGGAAATCAAATGTAGTAATGGCCAGGGAAGAAAAGTTACTTATGAATCTAGAGTGCAAATGCAGATTGGATTTCACAAGTTCAAACTAATCATTAAGTATTCAGAAAATTACCCTAGCAGTTTGTCATATTTCCTCCTCCATCTAGATGATGTAATGGGAGGAGAGTGGAGTCCGTATTCTGGAAGCGTGAAGCTGAATGAGCCAAAGCTTCTTTATTCGAGCCTTGTGATCTTTTGGTATACTTTAATGTACAATCTATGTGATATGGGAACTTGAATACACCAATGGCTCAGCTCCAACCAAAACTTGTTTTGCAAAGAATTGGAAATGGAAGTGGCTAAGTCTGCAGACGGCTTTTCTAATCGAAGTTTGAAATTACTCCACGCAATAAGATCAGATTTATGCTTGTGAGTTCTTGATTAACATTTATCAACTCAATTCTCTAATTTGATATTCTGCATTCAACACAAGGGGGAAGCTGGAGAGGAGTTAATTTCAAACTCTTACAACATCTCAATATTGCCGTTGAGCTGGAAATCCAGGGCACATAGGAATAGACCATTTGTCTGATCTCTCACTTAGAAATGTTACCCGTGTGAGAGAGAACCTAAAAGAATGAGGGCATTTCAAAGAGGAAAATTGTGTCTTTCTCTTCTTTTCCCATCAATTTTAAGCTAAATATGTAGTTTTAAGGGAATACTAAGTATATAATTTACTCAAGCAGTACAGATGAAATTGCTTGAATAGTTTATGGATATCATTCATCTTAACACTCTTCTAAAACAAATGATCTGATTACTCGTTCTCTACAACTAGCAGGATTTTTTGTATAATATGCAGTATAATTATGTACAGTACTTATACAGAAATTAAAATGTTGCTAATTAAAAGTTGAGCAAATGCTACATTGACTGAGAGGGGCTGTTATTGCATCCCTGCTTGCTTACAACAGCAACATGGTCTTTCAGTATAATGAGGAAAAAATTGTTTCTGATACAGAATGGGGAATGATGCAGTATAAGGAATTTATGATCTTTTTAAATATCAGTGGAGTCTTTAGTCAATTGTATAGTGCAAGCATTGAGTCAAATATGGAAACTCTCTGGACATTGCTTCTTGCAGTCTGTTCTTGGGAGACAGAATAAATCCAGAAATCCTCTTCACGGACCTGCCCTTGCCTAGATCGAATCCTATCTCTCTCACCGCCTCCACTTTGTTGCCTCTAATGGTTTCTCCTCCAACCTCCGCACTGTCATATCTGGCATCTCCCAGGACTCTGTCCTCGGCCCTCTCCTCTTTAATATCTACCCCTTGGTGACATCATCCGCAGACATGGGGTCAACTTGCATATGTATGCGGATGACACCCAACTCTATCTCTCTGCCTCCACCCTCAACTCCAGGACCACTGCTGTCCTGACAGACTGCCTGTCGGACATCAACAACAACAAGATTACATTTGTATAACGCCTTTCACGTCAGGAGGACGCCCCAATGCGCTGGACAGTGTACAGAATTTCAGACTCGAGCTGGGGTCGGGGGAGAGGGGAGGGGAAGGGTGGTGGCCGATGGCATGGTCGAAGAGGAGGGTCTTGAGGTGGGACGTGAAGGAGGCTAAGGAGGGAGCGAGGCGGATTGATTAGGGCATCCAGCCTTGACTATGAAAGCGCCCTGCATGTCGGCCTTCCCAACTCCTCCCTCCACAGGCTGCAGATAATCCATAACTCTGCAATCCGTGTCCTCTCCCGCACCAAACTCCATGACCCCATCTCCCCCATTCTCGCCCACTCCATTGGCTCCCTATCCTTCAGAGGATCCAGTTCAAGATCCTGGTCCTCACATACAAAGCCCTCCATGGCCTCGCCCCACCCTACCTCTGTGACCTCCTAACCCCCTACCAACCCGCCCGTTCCCTCCACTCAGCCGGCTCTGGCCAGCTCCACGCCTCCGACCCACCCGCCCCACCATTCAGCCGCTCTGCCCCCAACCTCTGGAATTCCATCCCCCAATCACTCCACCTCGTCCCCTCCTTAGCCTCCTTCAAGTCCCGCCTCAAGACCCTCCTCTTCGACCATGCCATCAGTCACCCCTCCCCTCCCTTCTCCCTCCCTGACCCCAGCTCGGGTCTGAAATGCTGTACACTGTCCAGCGCCTTGGGGTGTCCTCCCGACGTTTTTAATTAGTTTTATCCTGTGGAAGAACAATTAATGCAAATATTTTGACATCATATCACGGGATTAGAAAGAATTTGTATTTTTAAAGCTCCCTATATTGAAATGTTCCAGAATGCTTCATGAATAATTGCCACCAAATGTAATACCTGAAAACCTTCCTCTTCAACCGTGCTTACGGCCATCTCTCCCCCCCACCCCCACCCTCCCCCGGCTTGGAGTCACTTTTTACTTTTCCAATATTATTCACCTTTGTCACTTCCTCGCCCCAAGGGCTCCTGAGACGCTCACTCAAGTTTTCATCCCATAGAGGCTTGCTTATTCCAATGCTCGTCAGATTCCTCACCTCCTCCCTACACAAGCTGCAGACTATCCAGAACTCTCTCACGGTAGTTTCCAGCAGTCTGTCACCTCAGTCTTGACTTAAAAATCTGAAAATGATTCCTGCAATTTAAAATCTAATTCATTTTAATATAGTCTCACACACATTCTGAGAAGCCCCTCTTATAACTTTTTGAATTAATGTTTCTTATTTTGTATTGAGCTTCATTTTCCTATCATTCCAAAAAAGATGTCACGTTCTGTCTCACAGTTGACATTACCCAGCTATTAGTTTGTGGGGCTTATTAAAATTGCTAATTGATGAATTTACTAGTTTTATAATATAATTGTTCTGTATAAATATATTATAAATTACATATACACTCCATTTGATCATTTTAGGAGATTTCATTGATTCTACAAGAGTTGAAGAGGGTAGAGAAGCAGCTCCAAGGTACGTACGTCACTAACTTGGTTTCTATTTTTCGATTTGGGATCCTTTTAATTCCCTGCTTCTAGAAACTGCTGGTTGTGAACTGGCCTCTGTTTTTACAGGCTTCCTTTGTTCTGCTGTGGCTATGTGCTGACAGGACAACGAGTCCAATCCTGCCTCTCACCGCCTCTGGCATCTTCTTCCACAAGATAATATAAGTTTACTGCTGACAACCTGAAAATTTTAACTTTAGCTTTAATTGAGTAGTTAGTTGGAGAATGTTACCACAAATTATACACAAGGTGTTTTTCGGATCTGAGCCAGATCTCTGTGATTCCGAGTTCATGTGGCTTGGATCTGGCCTCACACTCACCACCAGATCTGGCAGGACCACTGGCTGGACCATGCCAAAACACTGCCTTTCTCTTTCCTTGGACCAACCAAATACTACTCCTATTCCACGATCATTCTCCACCCTCCCAACTACCATCCCCTCCCCATCTCTCCCTCACACTCCGGCCCTTTCCTATCCCTCCCTTCACACCTTCAAACCAGTCTCCCCCTCGTTGCTCACCACCACTATAACCTGCATGAAGCCCACCGCCTGCTCCCTTGACTCCATCCCTACACCCCTCCTAACCTCCCAGCTCCATCTCCTCAGGCTTTTACTCTCAGACCTCGTCAACCTCTCCCTGTCAACTGGCACCGTTCCCACCCCGCCTAAAAACAGCTGTCATCACCCCATCTTNAAAAAAATTCCCTGGACCCATCCCCGCTCACAAATTACTGCCCCACTCTATCCTCCACCACCGCATCTCCTTCGTCAGTTCTGACACAGATGCTGCCTGACCTGCTGAGTGTTCACAGCAACTTCTGTTTTTGTTTTCAGATTTCCAGCATTTGCAGTATTTTGTGTTTTGTCTAGAATTTAAGAGAGGTTTTATTGAAAAGCTCTGATTGAATTATTGTTTATCTGTTTACTGTTCTCTTCCTTCCTTAGCTATCAACGTGATGATTGATCCAGATGGTGCATTAGATTCAGCGTGTGGATTCAAACTAGCAAGCCCCAGTTTGCCTGGACAGGCAAAGCACAAGTCCAGCCCTACTCACCGTTCTCCGATCATAACCCCAAGAGAGCTTGAGCACAAAATGGTACGGCCGTCTCCTGTCTCTTCAGAATTTGACAGTGTTCAGCCATCTCATCCAGAGTACAGCCATCATTATACTCAGCGTAAACCGAATGGAGAGGGCAGAGAGAATTCTGGACACGAATAACACCGTTTTGCAGCATCTTTAAAGTGGCAGGCATAAACCAACTTGGACGAGAGTTCTGACCTTGTTGCCTTTATTGCAAACTGTTTTGCCACGCAATTGGCCTAAAGATGATTTCCTGCGTTCTACGGTACTTTCTCACAACATTATTTTTGCTGTAGTTGTAAGCTTTGTATTCAACAACAAACTATTTGGGAAAAACAAATTGTCTGATGCCTGTAGTGAAATGTGAACCAAATTGGCAGCTTTTCTACCTAGCCTTTGTTAGTTGTCTTCAAAATTGGTTAACAAATTTGCATTATTACTGATACTGGAATAGAAATATTGTGTTAAGCATATAAAGACAATACAAGTGCTAAGAATATCAAACCACAAAGGCATTGATGCCAAGCTGCTCAGCATATCGATCAGTTGAACTCCCATGTTCTGTTGAATCAAAGGATTGCTGTTCATTTGTGTTTAGTATACACATAACAGCATCTGCATAGAATATTACTTATCTGTACAAAATAGAATAACAGTTCAGCAATTATTGTACTATTTGGGGGAGGAGGAATTAGGTGTTATGCTGCGGTCAAAAGTAAGTTTTTGACATTAATGCTAAAAGTACGATTGAATGCAGAATTTTAGCATTATACATGATTGCACTATTAGCAACAACAGGTGAGCTAAGGAATGGGATCATTACATTGGTAACTGATATTTTATTCCCTCTAGCAGATTTGGGGGAGGGGAGAGTGAGTGAACAAGCAGAAAATCTATCTATTGTTGGGCAGCAGCATTATAGACATTGAAGGATCTTGAATACAGTTGTTAGCTCTTCAGAGAGATAAGAGGGATGACTATCCGCTTGTATAACAGTACAGTGGCAGACTCAACTGATGTTTATTCACCGAATAGTCGCCCACATTACAGTGATCTGTTTAAGCATTGCACATAGCTAGTCTGAATTGTCAGTTTGAATTGATGCAGACTAGTTCTTAAAAATTAGTTTGGAGAGAATGTAGTTGGCAAGCACACTGTCTGAAAACACTTCTAAAAATTGTTGTATGAATCCATTCTGATTATTTAAGGCTGAAAGTCACCTCTCAACCTATGTGTAAGGTGCTTGTATAAAATAGGATTGGGGCATTATTAACCCAATGCTGAAGAATGTGCATGTGCCTGCAACATAATTTTTATCTGTCTCACCCCCCACCTCCCGGTAATGAATAATGTGTGACTAAAATTGACAGTCTCACTTAGAGAGGCCTTAAGAATGGGAAATAGGGAGGATTCACAATGGTGCAATGTGGGAATGGCTTTTTCAAGATAGGATTCGGGCATCTTTCCAAGATGATGTGAAAGTACCTTTGCGCTTCTTTATGGCTACATTCTACCATTGGTTCACACTAAGTTGCATTTTCCAGCACTGATATCCAGGTGAGCATAACAAAATTCACAGCCCCTCCCAATCTCAATCCATTTCTTACCTGATACAAATTCACAACTCAAAATTGACTTGATTTCTCACTAATTTACAATCTACACTCCACAATGGTAAGAAATGAAAATGCCAGACTGGTCCGGCACAATGTTCATCTGAGTCGAACACTGATCTTTTTTGGTTTAGGTTGAAGTTCAAGTTGCAGCAAAGGGAGCTGTATCGCACAACAGTACCTTACCTGAAGGTCTGACTAGGTGCCAAAAGTGGAAATATTTATTTCCCAACACTGCCTGATGAGCACAAAAATTCATTGAAAATACAAAATTACTTTTTGATTACCAATAAAAGAACTGATCTTAATCATTGACTCAGTGTTCATCTTAGCTGGCCATGAGCAAATATGAGAGTGCCTGAGACTTAACTATCCCATCCACTTTCCCTTCGCCCCCACCAAGACTTGTAGCTCAGACTACAAATTTAGCAGTGTGATGGAACCTTGCAATCCAGCTATTTGTTGATTTTTCATGCTGTAACTGCTCTGCCCAACCGGTGTCTGCTTTTAAAAAAAAAAACTTGTAAATGCACAGCAATAGGAGGTTGAATGCTTTATAACATAATTTGGGACTAAGCTCAGCCCAAAATTGTGTTTTCATAATATGGATAGCAAACACGTTATGAGTGTGCCTCTGCTGCAGAAGTCACTTTTTGTGGAGATTGTGAGTGCTCCTTTACTGCAGAAGTTACTTTTCATGGGGATAGGCAAATCTCCTTATGTTGCTTTGAAGAATGGACATTTGTGTATACGTAAGCCACATGTGATACTGCCTTGCTTTTGTTACTGAAGAGCCTAAAAACTGTATTCTCTTCAAAAGATGAAGCTTTTATGTAGCATTGCATGGCGTAGTTTCTGGAATGCATTGCTGTTTGACCTGCCATCAGTCTTGCAGAGCTGCAAACCAGATTGTAGAAAAGGTAGGAAAAAAAAGCAATCCCAACAGTCTATGGGTGTCTCGCACTAAGATATCATTTGGAACAAGTGGAAAATGCAAAGGTCTTTTTTTGGTTTAAAAAGTACCTTTTATATATAATTCCTTTGTAGAGATTAACCTTATTCAAATATTGCTATTAAAAAAATCCCAGCCATTTGTAAATGGGCAACTGTTTGCCAAATTGATTGTCATTGGCCTTGTATCCTAGGAAGATTATCCTTTCAAGGAATATTTCATCCTTCCTCCATTAGATTTGGCACAGATCTAGATTCTCCTCCTTCACTAACATTCTAACTCAAAAGATCATGCCTAACATTGTTGGAACAACCAAGCAATAATCAAAAATGCGTGTGCATTATTTCTGGAGAAATTTTGCATTGACATCATTTTCATCCTTTTTTGTGTCCCATTACAGCACCATTATCTTGAGGCACCTGTGCTAATGTGAATGTGTACATATATTTGCCAATGTTCTTTAGATCTTGTAGTCCGCTGACTAACTTTTGTTGTAATATTGACAAGGGTGTACTAGGTAATATACAATCTGGTGGAAATTCAATGATGTAATACACTGTGCAATATATAGCCAATGCCAGCCTGTCAAGTAACTAGTAAATGATATTAGGCTAGTAAATACTAGAGGTCCTTCTGGTCTAATTTTACACAATAATTGGAAAAGCTGCCTTGTCAATATTACCTAGTTTGAATTTTTTTATCCCTTTTAAACCTTTGAAAAGGGAAATGAGCCTACCAAAAGTTGCCTCTAATTTTCCTCTTTGTTTTGTAGCAATTCCAGTAGCAAAAGCACAGGGCTGCCCCATAGATGGAAAAGTAATGAGATGGTGTATTACAAACCTTCACTAGTAAAGACCAATGTAATGAATTTCCCATGTTCTGGACATACTAGCTAAGCATTTCAAATTCTTGTATTGATTTACATGTTTATATATTTGTGTTGTAATCTGTAATACTGGTTTTGTTTGCATTTACAAGATTTTTGCCTGATTTTGTACGAACATTATTGGCTCTATTTATTTTTTGGTTATATATGTTCATTTGTATTTTTGCGTTTACAGTGTTTCAAATAAAGGTTTTTTTTCCAGATCTTGTTGCCACAGACAATGCTTTTTACTGAACTAAATCACTGAGTGTTATAAGTGGCGGTGTGCACTGGAGCCCCAATGTGATTCAATTTGGCAGAGGGTGCTGATTAATTTTTTTTCTATTCTTTGCGTCTTGAATTCCTAATCTTATTTGAACAGATGGAAAGAAAATCAGGTGCACCAACAGGCACTTCTATACTTAATAGCTAGATTATGAAAGGCTTGGGCAGAGTCCAGGATGCAGGTTTCCCATTTCCCCTCATGTTGTAGGATTTGGGGATGGGAAATAAAAGTAAGCATTCACTCTTTCCTCGCTTTCCCCACCTCTCCCCCCACAAAAAAATGAAATTTACTATCAAAACACATTACTTTCCAATCACTTCATCTGATTAAAAACATTCATCCATTAACATACAGATTTTTGGTGCTAAATTCAAATGAAGGAGGTGCTTTAACAATCATTTTAAGAATAGATTTGAGTAAAATCATTCTTTATTTCTATTTGTAAATGTGGACTATTCATTCTAGCAGTCATTGGTACAACTTTCTGCATGTAAATATCCACATTTGAAGTGAGTGTTAGATACTTTGCACCAATAATGGTTGAGTTTCAGAAACAAAATCCTAATGTTCTTTAGATCTTGTTAAAGCTAACAGCTCAGAATAAATAGTATGATAGTCATAATGATCAATAGTCTGGTTAATTGTTTGTCTAAATTAAAGGATCATTTAATTCAGTTGAAATGACAATTGAGAAGATTTATAAATTGAAAAGTTGGTTTCATACTGGAGGATGGGAGAGGTAGAAGATGATGACTAGCATTTGTGGAAAAAGTGAGAATTCTTCAAGCAGGTATACAGTGTGACAGTGGAAGAAGTATGCGACTACCAACCATCCTCTGGAGGAGGGGGAAGGTAAGCGGGGCTCCTGTCGTAAGGTAAATGAATGAGATATTTAATGAAAAGGTTGCAAAGGTAAATAATCTTATTTGGTGGAGGTAGTGTTGATCTCCAGATGTTTTTAATGTATTTGGAAAAGTTTTTTTGGTCAGTTGGGTGTCTGATGTGTGGAAAATTATGGATGTGTTTATGAGGATCCAAAGTAAACATAGTTCCAAACCTGTATGCCACCTACAGGTGGAAATGTTCCTGTGTCTGAAAAGGACTACTTAACTCTACTTATCTAATTCCAGAGAGGTTAGAAGTAGGTTGCAGAACTACCCAGCTCAGAGACCAGACCACCTATCAACCCAGGCAAGTCCACAGTACTCCTAAGAAAAGAGTATCATCTGGCAAAACATTCACTATTCCAAGTCAATTGGGAGAATAACCCCAGTGGGAGTATTTATGTTTGCGGAATCACTGATATCATTCGCTTTGGAGTAACCAAAGTAGGTTGTCTGCTGTAGGAATGAGCTATTATGTATTCAAGATATATGAGCTCTCCAAATCCACTACAATTGAACAAATTGCAACACAGGGTATGTGTGTGTCTATTTAGGTGCCCACTTTAACAGCAACTGGCACTCTAATACTTTGTAATGGTGAATAGGCCTGGTTAATTAAATAACAGTAGTTTGGCTCCCATTTGCTGTAAATGTAATGAATTTAGATAATGCACAATCAACCCAATGTTTGAAATAACTCCATCTACAACAAGGAGTACAAATCAGAGCACAGGCCAAATCTCAGAGAAGGGAAGATGAAGATAATGTAGATTTAATTGCTTTATAGAATGGTGAGTCTGGAACGGACTATTAAGAGAAATAATGGAAATGGATCAAATCACAACAATTTTATAGCATACACAGCATCTTTCACATCAACAGGACGTCTCAAAGTGCTTCACAGAGCTGACTGGGAGTCCAAGCTGGGGATAGGGGAGCCGAGGAAGGTGTGTTGCCTGTGGGGCGGGGGGGCGACGGGGCGAGGTGACCAAAAGCAAAAGGGCTTGAGGCAGACTTTAAAAGTGGGGAGGAAAGCGTGTACAGAAGAGGGCCTCCGGTATGAAGTTTCAGACCAGGGGCAGAATGACTGAAAGCTCGCCTGCTGATGGTGGGGGACATGAAGGAAGCCAGCATTCACTGAGCAGAGTCCGTAGCCAGAGTGCTTGAGGTGCAGGAAGTTGCAAAGCCATGGGGTAAAGCCATGGAGTGCAAGGTAGAGGATCTTGAATTCAATCCTCTGGGACATGGGGAGCTAGTGAACATGAGCGAGCGTGGGGGTAATGGGCTCACAATGCCTGGTGCAGAACAGCATATGAACTGCAAATTTCAGGATGGTCTGCAACTTGCAAAGGGAGACTGGCAAAGATGGATTTGGATAGCTATTTGGTGAAGAAATCCCATAATGCGTGTGAGAGATACAGTATTGTACGATTTATTTTACATTGAGGCCAAGCAATGGGTTGCAGACATATTTTCCAATCCAGTACATCCCCATGACATTATTTTGAGGATATCTGGAAGATGAAAGAACTTGTATTCACAACATATGATTCATTCTGACATATTTGCCAGTCTTCAAAGCAGAAAATGTCAATTAATAAAACTTTGAATTTCAGAATTGGTTTGCTCACAGACCTTAAAGTTGGCGGCTCAGTGATGCAACTGTCAGCCTTTGAAAACCAATGTTGTACCTTATCAGAGTGTTGAACTAAAATGAACTTGCACAAGTATTCTCTGTTATAAATCAGGCTTTCACATTGGGGTTGAAATGTGATTGCTGCCTCAGTGTTAGGAAAAGTAACAAATTCTTTAGGGGTTTGATCACTGACTAGCAGAAATGAAATAACTCTTGAGGTCTGGAAGGTTTAAACTTTTAAATCTTACCTATTTGCTTTTCTTAACCTTACCTTTATTTACAACAACAATAAGATTCCATTTACAGAGCGCCTTTCACGTCGGGAGGACGTCCCAAGGCGCTGTACAGTTGGGTCAGGACCCGAGCAAGGGGGAAATGGTCAGGGTGAGGGGAGGGAAGGGAGGGAGCGAGGAGGGGGTAGAGAGTCGAGAGGGGAGCTGAAGGCACGGTCAAAGAGAAAGGTCCTCTGGAACTTGAAAAAAATTAAATTCAATAAAATATTGAAAAATATATTGACCCCCTCAAACATTTTAAAGTTTCTACTGTTCTTTACAAAAGATGTTAGCCTAGCTTTGTTGGTAGCACTCTCACTTCTGAGTCTGAAGATTTTGGGAAGATTTTGGATTGAAGTTCCATGTCGGAACGTTGAGTTTATTGTCTAATCTGACACTCCAGTGAATTGCTCGGGAATACAGCATTGCCAGAAGTGCTATCCTTCGCATGAGATGTCAAATGACAAGGTCTCAAGTCTGTCCATTCAGGTGGACATTAAAGATCCCATAAGAATAATAATAATCCTTGTACTTGATATAGCACCTTATCACGTCATCAAAACATCTCAACATGCTTCACAGGATATATTGTAAGGTGGATCTCACTGTGTATTTTGTGGGTGAAACTCGGCAGCCATGGTTCAAAGTTTTTGTTTTTGAAAAGAGAAGGGAGTTTCTCTTGGTAAAGTGACCTAACAATCCCAGTCATTCATTTCATGTCTCTTTGTGGGACATTGCTGTGTTTGCAGAAAATATAGTCTCTACAAAATACGGACTCTACGCCCTACAGTACATCCTTCATTTGGAGATGTTTTGACAATGTGGTAAAGCGCTATATGACAATATAGCAGTCGCCCAAAACTGCATTGGACTGTGAGTTCAAACATCTAGTGCGGGGCTTGAACTCACAACTTTCTGACTCGGAGGCAAAAGTGCTTACCAACTGATACCCATATTAAACATCTTGTCCTTGGAGAGATTATTAATGTTATGACCTTTTGATAAAATATTGTTTGAATCTTTTCAAGAGTTCTATTTGTTTGATGTTCATTTCAACGATAAACTTTATCAGGAACTCAGTCTTTGGAAATGTTTATAGTATTCCGAACCAAGGATCCGATAACGCAGACATCATTGCTGTATAATTCCACGAGATTATGTGTGGTTACTTTTTACGAAGTAGTTTGTGTGAAATTGGAACAACTATTTTATTCTGGTATCTTATGTCCACTACCAACGAGAGAGTCTTTAAAAATATAACAGTTGTTAAGAAATCCCATTGTAATGGCGTGTTATTTCATTTGGATTTACTGTGAGTGATTTGCGATGACAGTAAGTAAACGTAAACCCTGAAATATGATCTCTTATAACAATCCACAGAATGTCACCAATCATGTTTGACCCTCAACTGTCCTTTCTATCCCACATCTGTATAATGACCCGCTCTGCCTTCCCCCACCTCTGCAACATCACCCAGCTCCGCCACTGCCTCTGCCCTCAGGCTGCCGAAATCCTCATCCACACATTTATTACATCTAGACTCGACTATGGCAACTCCCTCCTTATCGCCCTTCCCAACTCTTCCCTTCACAAGCTGCAGATCATCCAGAACTCTGCAGCTCATGTACTCTCCCACACCAGACTCTGTGCCCTACTACCCCCACCCTCGGCCAGCTCCATTGGATAGAATTCAAAATCCTTGTCCTCGCCTTCAAAGCCCTCCACGGCCTTGCTCCTTCCCACCTCTGTGACCTGCTAACGCCATATCAGCTTGTCAACTCAACAGGTTCTGGCCTGCTCCACATTCCCCCACCCGGCCTGCCCCAATATCGGCGGTTGGACCTTCAGCCTTTCTGCCTCCACCCTTTGGAACTCCAACCCACAGTCCCATCATCTTACTCCCTCCCTCCTTCAAGGACCCTCCTCTTCGACTGCACCTTCGGCTACCCTCCTCCCCCAAATCTCCCAGCCCTCCACCCCTCCTGATCCGAACCCCTCTCGGGTCCAAATCCCTGACTGTCCAATGCCTTGGGATGTTCTTCCAACGTTCGCTTTACAAATGTAATTTGTTGTGGGGAGATTTATTAGAAGTGTTCAAAATTATGAGGGGTTTTGATAGAGTAAATAAGGAGAAACT